AACTATGAACGTAACTACAAACTGGTAGACGGTTTCCATGGCAACTAAGGACGCCATCAATAAAGGCTTGCGTCTCACCACACGTGTGTCTGTATAGTCCTTGTGGCTTAGCGCTTCTTTTTTATTATAATAATAATAACCACACGTGTGTACAACTCCACACGAGGAGTTATACGTTGAACGAGGGAAACGTGTTGAAATATTAAACCTACACAACACGGCATTTACAGCATCACCAAATTTATCGTATGACATCAGCACCTATATAACGCACTACCTATATAATTAGGCGCACAGAATTGTAATTTGTCAGGGAAGGGAAGTGAGTATTTTGAAAATACAAATTTTAAAAGAAAGATATATAAAACCTGGGTGCGATATTCGCATACATCGAATTCCTGTGGGTGAATCAGTGCAAGGAGTGACCGAAGCTCAAACCTTCGTCTCACGCTCTGTATAGCCCTTGTGGCTTAGCGCTTCTTTTTGATAATAATAATAATTCGTCTCACGCTAGTCGGACGGAGGATCGAGCCTTCATCATTCAATCCCTGCGCTTATAGACCTAAACGGGTTTATAGCAATGAACAGCATAAACCAAACGAGTCACATTCATATGTTTTTATGGTGCTTTTGAGGACTAAATCACAGGGGCTTTTCTGTGACATTCATCAGTGACAGAAGTGACATGGCTGAGGTCACAGGAGAGGGCACTAGGGCAGGTGTGTCAGCCACCGCTGGACTCGACCTCATGCCTCCAGCAGGAAGCGCCAAACCCTCAGCTGCTTTAGACTTCCCCGGAGTCCGCTTTGCCGATGAGAACATCGCATGTAAGCCGCAGCAGGAGACGCAGGTGATGGTGGAGAGCTTGAGGAACAACACCGTGCAGGAGGTTAGACCCCCGCAGAAGGAGGTGGAGGAGGCGGTGGAGGTGGACTGGTTGGGAGTTCCCCTCGCCACCTCCACCCTACCAGACTACACCTCCATGTACCGCCTCCACTACCAGGAGCACCGTCCTGGTGCCACCCTCACCTCTCACCTTCCGCTTACCACCGTAAACAAGACCAAGGAACGAGAGCTTCATGAACAGGTGAAGATCCTATCTTAATTATCCCATGCAAAAAAAAAAAAAAGACAGAAGGGTTCAGTCGCTGGACCCATTACTGTCTATAATCTTTCGATTTCCTCCCACATGACAGGACGGGATGCAAAATTAAAATATCGAACCAATAAGAAACAACACAAAAGCAGAGGAAACCTTTACTGTGCAAACGTTTAATTTTTAACTGAATGTTCTACACAGAACGAAACATTGTGACTATAGTAGCTTGCTGTGTACCTGTGTACTTTACTCTCAGCAATGTGTCTTATGTATTCATTAACTAGCAACTGGTAGCCTGGTGGCTAAAGCTCTCGCTTCACACGGTGAAGGGTCTGGGTTCGATTCCCAGCCAGGGTAGAAACAACTGAGCGTGTTTCTTTACACCCGTTGTCTATGTTCATCCATCAGTAAAATGGGTACCTGGGTGTTAGTCGGCTGGTGTGGGTCGCATCCTGGGACACTAACCTAATTTGCTCGAAATGCTCAACATAACAAGGGGCTTTCTGTATAGTCAGCTGGGCCTGTGTGCCATGTACATGTACTTCAATTCAAGTTTATTGTCTATAAGGGTTACATTGTGGGGTTTACAGGTTTTGGGTATTGTGTGGTTTACATGTTATAAAATACTAATTACAGAGGGGGCCACTAGGACACCTAGCATGGCTAGGCATTTCGGGCAGACTTAGATTAATTCTTAACATTAAATCCTTACAGATTATGGTATTAAGGCTAAGTGACTACAACATAATTTGTGAGTTTAGCAATATGAATGCTTTTGTTTTGGGACAATACAAAGTGTCTGTATTGGAGTATCATAGGCAAACTTATGACTAGTTAGGATTTATTATTTTAAGATTAAGATTAGTATTTCTGGGTTTATAGTCAGTGGGTGAGTGAGTGTAATTTTGAACCACCAGGTGGTTATCATGTAGTTAATTGTCGGGGTGGATCAGGGAGATAAGATGTTTTCTAACTGTAGTTTTGAAAGTGATGAATGTGTCTGCAGTTCTAGAGTTTTCAGGTAGGGTGCTCCAGATTTTAGGTCCTTTGAAATACATTGAATTTTTGTAAAGGTTTAGTCGAACACGGGGAATGTCATAGAGATGTTTGTGTCTGGTGTTATGCCTATGGATCCTGTCACAACTATCAAAAAAGCATTTTAGGTCAAGGTTAATATTGGAATTTAAGGTCCTGTAGATATAGATTGCACAGTAGCAAGTGTGGATGTTCTGAACAGGGAGTAAGTTTAGATCTATGAAGAGTGGGGGGGTGCGTTGCCATGGATGGGATTTACTGATTATTCTTACTGCGGCTTTTTGTTGGGTTATTATTGGCTTTAGGTGTGTTGCTGCAGTTGAACCCCAAGCACAGATAGCATAGGTGAGGTATGGATATATAAGTGAATGGTATAGTGTGAGAAGGGCAGTTTGCGGCACGTAGTATCGTATCTTGGAGAGGATCCCCACCGTTTTGGATACTTTTTTTGTTATGTGTTGGATATGGGTGCTGAAATTTAGGTTGTTGTCGAGGTATAGGCCAAGGAATTTGCCCTCATTATGTCTGGCAATTAGAGTGCTGTCGATCTTAATGTTAAGTTGCGCAACACCTGCTCTGCTACCAAACATAATATAGTAGGTTTTGTCAATGTTAAGTGAAAGTTTATTGGCTGTCATCCAAGTCGATATTTTGAGCAGCTCCTCGTTAACAATGGTGTTGAGGGTGGCAAGATTAGGGTGGGAGATAACATAAGTCGTGTCGTCAGCAAAGAGAATGGGTTCCATGTGTTGAGATATGTTTGGAAGATCATTGATGTAAATGAGGTAAAGAGCAGAGGTCCAAGGACACTTCCCTGCGGAACTCCAGTATCAAGTGGCCGTATTGATGAGGCTGTGTCTTTAATGGTGACATATTGATACCTATTAGAAAGGTAGGATTTAACATATGCAAGCGCATGGCCTCTTATACCATAATGGTCAAGTTTGTGGAGTAGGATGCCGTGGTCTATTGTGTCAAACGCTTTTCTTAGGTCAATAAAAATTCCTAGCGGATATTCCTTATTTTCCAATGCTGTGTAAAGCAGGTCTAGCATTTTTATGATTGCATCATTAGCGCTTTTATTTTTCCTGAATCCAAATTGGCAGGGGTTGAGTATGTTTTGTGACGTTATAAATTAATATAGTCTCCTGTGCACGAGTTTCTCGAAGATTTTGGATAGCAATGGTAAGTTTGACATTGGCCTATAGTTGTTTACATCTGTAGGGTCACCACCTTTATGTATTGGTGTAATCCTTGCTGTCTTGAGTAGTATCGGGAAAGTGCTAGTTTCTAGTAACTTGTTAAAAAGTAATGTAATAGCATGCGAAAGGACATGGGCCGCTCGCTTGTAGTAAATAAAGATATTATTATTATTATACGCTAGAAGAGACTAACTCCGTTTCTTTAATCCCACTTCTGATGACGTTGTGCAGTTTGAGGGCGTTGGATGGGTGGCGCGAGACACAGTACCTGCTGGTCAAGTGGGTGGCTACGTCAAGAAGGGTGGTGAGGTAGGACGGGCACTGCTACACCCTCAGGGGGACCGCTGGAACACTCCGTCACCTGTGGTCAAGAGGCTGAGACGGACCGATCCCATGGAGTACCTCAACCTCTGTGATCCTCTCAACAAGATACCGTAAGTAGTCAACAAGTTGTTTTTCTCTTGGTCCGTATTGACACTCGGTGAAGATGAATGAAATGATCCACGCGGCTCTCATCAGACAGACAACTAGGAGAGTGAAAAATAGGAAGCGCGTCTGTCTCGCGCTCAACAGACGGAGGATTAAGCCTCCAACACGCCTTGCGCTGAATGACCCAGACTCACATGGGTTTAGCGCTTAACATGAATAAATTAAGTAATAATAATAATAATAATAATAATAATAATAATAATAATAATAATAATAATAATAATAATAATAATAATAATAATAATAATAAACCGATTGAACGGCCAAGACGGCCCGCAGGCTTATTGCTATTGTTGGATTACAGGGCCAAGTTAGTTAAATATCTATATTATAGGGTTTCTGCGCCGACCTTCCTTGGGAGTGGACATCTCACTGTCGCTTGAGTATCAGTGACAAATTCCCGCCAGTCTCTCTGGGACGCGTGTCCAAAACGTCTCAGAGAACATTTTTTTTCTTTCTTTTCGTTTTTTATTTTTTTTCTTTCTTCATGGGTCACCCTGCCTCGGTGAGAAACGGCCGACATGTTAAAAAATAATTATAAATCGTCAGAACATGGAGGAACACTGCAATAGGCCTATAAGATAGGGATAAGATTTGTTTGAATTTTTAACCCGGAGGGTTAGCTACCTAGGATAACCTAAGAAAATCAGTGTATCATCGGGGACTATCTGCCTTATTTACATTGGAATCCTTCAATCATGTTCCCCGGGATACGACCCACACCAGCCAACTAACACCCAGGTACCTACTTACTGCTAGGTGAACAGGGACAACAGGTGTAAGGAAACACACCCAACGTTTCCACGCGGCCGGGGATTGAACCACGAACACTGTGTGTGTGATGTGAACTCGCTGTAAGCAAGCCTGGGATTAGTTAGAATCTTCTGATTCGCATTAAAATACATTTATCTACAAACTTTACCTGAAGGGGCACAAGGAATGGAACCTGGACGAGGGGACACAAGGAGTGAAACCAGGCAGTAACAGCCTGGTTGATCAGGCCCTGATCCACAGGGAGGCCTGGTCAAGGACTGGGCCATGGGGGCGTTGACCCCCGGAATAACCTCCAGGTAGACTCCTGGTAGGTACGGGATAAAACCTGCAACCAGCTGAACACAAACATTTTGAATTAAATATTCACAATAATTATCATTTTTTTCCATGTGTGCGCGAGGTGTGAGCGGCTGATGTACCAGTGGGCACTGGGTGACCAGAGTGCCATGGACGAGAGAGTGACGGTGGGTCGATCCTGCAGAACTTCTGGCTTCACTGCAAATTCATCTCCACACCTTCCTCCACCTGAAGACAGGTCATTCTACTCCGTCTACGCCCACAGGTTGGTTAATAATAATACTAATATTATATATATGAGTTCACAGCGAAAGTACTGTGTACTTTGATACAGTGCAAGTTCGAATTCTGCTGTGGACTTAGAGATAATATATATCCATACATACACATACTGGTTTTTATATCCATACATTAACTTTACTTTTGCTTGACTTTTCCTTCCTGTATGTGTATTGCAGTTATAACCTGGAGGTACCTCGGGACGATGTGGAGGGTCTCCACGGAGACCTCCAGCCCCTGGCCTCCTCCCTCCAGTACCCTGGTTATGGAGGCACCTCAGTCATGAATGACACGCCCTCTACCTTCCTTAGGTACGTTCATTTCCATGTACAGCATATTTCACAGCAAACCCTTGTTTAGCCAGCTGCAACTTCTCTGACCTTATAACTGTTGGAGAATTGTGTTAACGACACTGGCGTCACCTGGTGGGGGTAATGACGCTGGAAGCCCGTAACACTGGAGACCTGCTCTCATGGGACCTATCAAAGTTATATCTAGAGCTGTTTAGAAAGACCCGTGAGCAAACACTAGGACATATTTATTAGAAACCGTTTCGGTCTTGGGATCTTGATCCTCCGTCCTGGGTATCTAATACCGAGGTTTTTATCATCTTAAGTTGTGTATGAGGATGTTTGTTTCAGGTAATAACCAAAAGTATAATCAAATTAATTTTTAAAGGGGGTGGATCAGTAAACCAGCCGAAGGTCTCGGTCATATGACCGAAAACTCCAGCTGCGGGTCATCATATTGCTAAGACCTGTGTCAGGAAACACTAGTCCTGTTCCCTGACGAATCTTACCTAACCTAACTTTCCAGGTGGACACCGCACCATCTGCGGACTCAGCCTGATCTACTGCAGCAGAGGCCAAGCTCACACCACCTACGTCAGGCTCACAGAGACTTCACCACATGCTGATCTGGCATCCAACTTTATGATGCGGTACATGGAGTTTATGTGATATTCTGAAGAAATAATAACCACTAGGGTAGTGTAAGACGTCAGTAGTGAGCCCTGTGTGTTCACTGATAAACAGGACAGTCTGTTAATATATGGTGGACCGACAGTTTCTGGTAGAAAGATGCCAGTCTGTTCTCCATGTGGTATCCAACAGATAAGCGCCAGAGTACATTTTCCCAAACCCGACGGCAGTGGGAAGATGACCAGAATCCTAAACGAGGTTTAACAGCAAACAATTTATTGTGGGCCAGCTCGAACGAGCATTGTTGTCAGCAAATACATAGTTACTGACTCACGAAATCGTAATGACACGATTGCAAACAAACCGTATAAATATACCTAGTTGGACGAATCTTAATGTAGCCAGCTGACCCAGTGGCTAACACGTCGGTCTGGAGTTTCATGATTCTCTGATCACGGGTTCTATCCCCGCCCGTGGTATTGTTTGATACATAGTTGTTAAGAGAGCACTGAAACATAGTTCAAGCCTTTCATAAGCACCTAAGCAGCCACTTTCAAGTGTCCTCGTCGTTAATGGTGTATTATATCCTACCTGTGAAAAATATTCAGCATTTTTCAGATTACTGTTCATTAATGACTTTTATTAAAGTGTTCTCAATTAAAGAAATATTTATTGCTTCTTAATTCATATAAAATAACTCATCTGTTTATACAATGTAAGGTCATATTTGTGTCAATAATTGATGAATGTTAACGTGAACAAAAACTGTGTCATGTAATTGTCTTAGTCTATTGACTTAACTATATTTTAATTTTACTTAGCTTTTCGCTATCACTACTCTTAAAATTTATAGCAGATATATTCATGGGGAAGTGGAACAGAATTCTTTCTCTATAAGCCATGCTTGTCGAAAGAGGCGACTAAAATGCCGGGAACAAGGGGCTAGTAACCCCTTCTCCTGTATAAATTACTAAATTTAAAAAAAGAAATTTTCGTTTTTCTTTTTAGGTCACTCTGCCTCTGTGGGATATGGCCGGTTTGTTGAAAAAAATATTGATTCTCATTTGATTTTAGTTTTCCTAATAGGAAACGAATAAATAACGGACCTAGGGGCAAAACTGTAATTAATCATTGACAATCGTGAACTATGTTGCATAGAGGTACCCTCGTTTCAAGTGTTAATTCCGGCTCTGTAAAACGATTTAAAGGCTCTGCGTTTTCCCAGTACTCAACATTTAAATGCTGTGAGTACTAGTACCACGACAAGAGGAACGTGGATATACCAAATTCAAGGCCAAAGAAGGTAATGCCATGCAGTCTTAATCAAACTTCGTATTGGAATTCTCAGGAAACTATCACTTTGTTTTCCCATGTTATCTGACTAGTGAGGCCTTGCTAGGGATGAGTATAATGGGGGGCAACCTAGGAAGTACTCTAGGCAGGACATCATTAACTAGAGGTGAGCCTAAAAATCATTTAGTATGTATCCTGTTTTAGCCTGTGTGTATATTTTTTTGTAATAATTACAGAATTAGTGTATATATATTAGTGTATATATTTTCTCTGTCCCAGACTTCTGCTTGGCCAATTTCATGGGACTGAGAAATTACCCGGGTGGGCTGAATTGGAATGATCTGAGTATGGGTCAAGTAGGTGGTGATGGTTGCCAATATGATGTTTTTCAGACATTAGTTCTAGCTGGCCAGACAACTTATGTTCTGAGTAGGGAAATTAGATCTAATAAAAATGATCCCAGATGGAAGAACAATAGATTAAAACATCTCATTGGTCAAAAGATAGTCATATAATATAGGCGTATCAAAAGAGGGGATGGACAGTTAAGAAATTAATGCATTCAATTAAAGAGAGAAATAAAAAAAAAAGGATAAGAGGAGCAAAAAGGGATTATGAGGTAGATAGGCCCACTTAAAAGGAGCTCAGGTTAGATCATTGACAGTGATAAGAAAATGTGTGAAATTTTCAACACTTACTTCCCCTCAGTTTTTACTCAGGAAGATACTAGCGAAATTCCAGAAATAATAAATTATGTAGAACAGGACGATAATAAACTATGTACGATTGGGGTAACTAGTGACATGATCCTTAGACAAATAGAGAAATTAAAACCTAACAAATCCCCAGGCCCTTATGAACTGTTTGCAAGGATTTTAGAGGAATGTAAAGAGGAACTTAGCAAACCTTTGGCTAATCTTTTCAACATATCACTACAAACTGGCATGGTGCTAGATAAGTGGAAAATGGCAAATATAATACCTATTTACAAAGCAGGTGACAGGTCCTTAGCTTCGAACTATATACCAATAAGCCTAACCTCCATAGTGGGAAAATTTATGGAATCAATAATTGCCGAGGCAATTTGTAGCTATCTTGAAAGGCATAAATTGACTAATGAATCTCAACATAGTTTCACAAATGGGCGTTCCTGCCTTACGAATTTACTATTTTTTTTCACTAAGGTATTTGAGGAGGTAGATCATGGTATTGAATACGATATTGTGTATATGGACTTCAGTAAGACTTTCGGTAGAGTTCCACATCAAAAGCTATTAAGGAAACTTAAGGCATACGAAACAGGAAGAGAAATTTTTTCTGGGTAGAGGCATGGTTGACAAATAGTTAGTTAGTTTAATATGTTTATTATGCACCCCATACCCATCCTGTGGGCGGTAGTCAAAAGATTACAGAGGTACATAATGGGTCCAGGGACTGGGCCTCAAAGTTTTGATAGCTGACAAATAGGCAGCAGAGAGTTTGCATAAACGGGGGGAAATCAGAATTGGGGCACGTGGAAATATAAACACATATGCAGTATAATGTGATCCTTTATTGACAACGTTTCGCCCACACAGTGGGGCTTTTTCAAGTCACAAACAGATCTACCTGGGGTGTTGTTGTTGTAGGTTTGCCGGTACTTTTGGCCCGGGGCTCTCCCGATGGTACCCGGGGGTGGGCCCCCCGGGGGGGGGGTGTCGTTCATCTTTTTTCTTCTTATTGTTTCGGGCCCTCCGGGTTGGGGGGTGACTTCTTCTTCTTGCGGTGACTCCCCCGTGGGAATATCTTCTCGTTTTTGCATCTTCACAGCTAGGAGGGGGGGAGGGAGCAATTACAGGGGATTTTTGGGGCCCACCCCCCCTTTAGCAGGCAGCAAAGGTGGGGGGAAATTCCTTCACGAGATTGATCATTACATCCCCAGATGAGGTACCTTTTTCGGCACCCATCTGGAGAGCCTAAATTTTTCCTTTTGGTGTAGTCAAAGCCACAAAGCGGTGACTTTTTTTAGAGTAGGGTTTTTATAGGATTCAGGTGAATGTCGAGTTGAGTCGCAGGTGAAAAGCTGTCCCTTTGGAGGGTTGAAAAAATTTTTGGAGTGTACATTGCGTTCTCTTTGGGTGGTTTTGGGGACAAGTATACACCGGGAACAAAAGGGCTTCTTGTAAAAAGTGGCGGTAGTACGTAGGGATGCATCCCCAAAGGGTCTTGTTTTAACCTTCTTGGCTGGGGGGCTGAACGTTGAGGGGGGCTCTATTGGCCGTTGTGACGGAGGTGGAAGCGGTGCTGTGGACTCCATTGGGGGAACGTCGGGCTCAGTGGTCTCTGTTGAAGATTGAACCTTATCAGCATTGGAATCTTTTTTCAGGAAAAGTTTTTGCCACACATGGTTCATCAGTCCAATACAAAGAGGAAGGGGTAAGAGAGGAGGAGAATGAGGTAATCATTCCCCCAACCTGGAGTCGAGGTTCAGTCCATAATCTTGTAGAATGTACAGCATGGGGCCGTAGACGGGCTTATAACTTAGTGGGGTACGGAAGCAGAGGGAGGGGGGGGGGGTCATAGTGGTACCACCACTGTCGAAGTAGGTCTTCTCCAAAGGTTGAACAATTTTTTTTGAAGAATTCTTTGTAAAAAGACCCATGATGCGGGCCGTGCTGACAGTTTGTGATGAATGGGTTTGAAAAACCGACAAGTTGAAGATTGAACACTTATGCAGCATATGGGAATCTTTATTCAGGAAACGTTTCGCCACACAGTGGCTTCATCAGTCCAATACAAAGAGGAAGGCGTAAGGAGAGGAGGAGAATGAGGTAATCATCCCTCAACCTGGAGTCGATGTTTCAGTCCATCAATCTTGTAGAATGTACAGCATAGGGCCGTAGACGTGGCTTATATACTGTAGTGAGGTGACGTGAAGCAGATGGAGGCGGGGTCATAGTGGTACCATCCACTAGTCGAAGTAGGTCTTCGTCCAAAGTTGAACAAGTGTGAAGAATTCTTTGTAACAAGACCCCATGATGCTGCCGTGTCTGACAGTTGTGATGAAGAACCACTCGACAGTGGAGGGACCATCTAGACACTTATTCCCACGCATATAACAGTTATAGGAACGTCTACGCCCAATGCTTATCATTCCTACAAGATTGATGGACGAACATCGAGCAGTGGGGGAGATGAGGTAACTCATTCCCTTCAACCTGGATCGATTTTCACCTTTTATTGGACTGTAAGCATGTGGGCGTAGACGTTTTAAAAACCATAGTGAGTGTCTGAAGCTTAACATGACGGGTTTTACCACCCCCATCAAAGCTTCGTCCGGGCATCAAGTGTTGAAGAATTCTTCAACACTTGTTTCAACCTTGGACTGAAGACCTACTTCGACTAGTGGATGGTACCACTATGACCCCGCCTCCATCTGCTTCACGTCACCTCACTACAGTATATAAGCCACGTCTACGGCCCTATGCTGTACATTCTACAAGATTGATGGACTGAACACATCGACTCCAGGTTGAGGGACTGATTACCTCATTCTCCTCCTCTCCTTACGCCTTCCTCTTTGTATTGGACTGATGAAGCCACTGTGTGGCGAAACGTTTCCTGAATAAAGATTCCCATATGCTGCATAAGTGTCTCAATCTTAAACTTGTCGGTTTTTCAAACCATTCATCACAACTGTCAGACACTGCAGCATCATGGGATCTTGTTACAAAGAATTTTTTAACACTTGTTCAACCTTTGGACGAAGACCTACTTCGACTAGTGGATGGTACCACTATGACCCCGCCTCCATCTGCTTCACGTCACCTCACTACAGTATATAAGCCACGTCTACGGCCCTATGCTGTACATTCTACAAGATTGATGGACTGAACACATCGACTCCAGGTTGAGGGACTGATTACCTCATTCTCCTCCTCTCCTTACGCCTTCCTCTTTGTATTGGACTGATGAAGCCACTGTGTGGCGAAACGTTTCCTGAATAAAGATTCCCATATGCTGCATAAGTGTCTCAATCTTCAACTTGTCGGTTTTTCAAACCATTCATCACAACTGTCAGACACGGCAGCATCATGGGGTCTTGTTACAAAGAATTCTTCAACACTTGTTCAACCTTTGGACGAAGACCTACTTCGACTAGTGGATGGTACCACTATGACCCCGCCTCCATCTGCTTCACGTCACCTCACTACAGTATATAAGCCACGTCTACGGCCCTATGCTGTACATTCTACAAGATTGATGGACTGAACACATCGACTCCAGGTTGAGGGACTGATTACCTCATTCTCCTCCTCTCCTTACGCCTTCCTCTTTGTATTGG